TCTGTGTGCTCAGCTCCCTCTGTGTGCTCAGCTCCCTCTGTGTGCTCAGCTCCCTCTGTGTGCTCAGCTCCCTCTGTGTGCTCAGCTCCCTCTGTGTGCTCAGCTCCCTCTGTGTGCTCAGCTCCCTCTGTGTGCTCAGCTCCCTCTGTGTGCTCAGCTCCCTCTGTGTGCTCAGCTCCCTCTGTGTGCTCAGCTCCCTCTGTGTGCTCAGCTCCCTCTGTGTGCTCAGCTCCCTCTGTGTGCTCAGCTCCCTCTGTGTGCTCAGCTCCCTCTGTGTGCTCAGCTCCCTCTGTGTGCTCAGCTCCCTCTGTGTGCTCAGCTCCCTCTGTGTGCTCAGCTCCCTCTGTGTGCTCAGCTCCCTCTGTGTGCTCAGCTCCCTCTGTGTGCTCAGCTCCCTCTGTGTGCTCAGCTCCCTCTGTGTGCTCAGCTCCCTCTGTGTGCTCAGCTCCCTCTGTGTGCTCAGCTCCCTCTGTGTGCTCAGCTCCCTCTGTGTGCTCAGCTCCCTCTGTGTGCTCAGCTCCCTCTGTGTGCTCAGCTCCCTCTGTGTGCTCAGCTCCCTCTGTGTGCTCAGCTCCCTCTGTGTGCTCAGCTCCCTCTGTGTGCTCAGCTCCCTCTGTGTGCTCAGCTCCCTCTGTGTGCTCAGCTCCCTCTGTGTGCTCAGCTCCCTCTGTGTGCTCAGCTCCCTCTGTGTGCTCAGCTCCCTCTGTGTGCTCAGCTCCCTCTGTGTGCTCAGCTCCCTCTGTGTGCTCAGCTCCCTCTGTGTGCTCAGCTCCCTCTGTGTGCTCAGCTCCCTCTGTGTGCTCAGCTCCCTCTGTGTGCTCAGCTCCCTCTGTGTGCTCAGCTCCCTCTGTGTGCTCAGCTCCCTCTGTGTGCTCAGCTCCCTCTGTGTGCTCAGCTCCCTCTGTGTGCTCAGCTCCCTCTGTGTGCTCAGCTCCCTCTGTGTGCTCAGCTCCCTCTGTGTGCTCAGCTCCCTCTGTGTGCTCAGCTCCCTCTGTGTGCTCAGCTCCCTCTGTGTGCTCAGCTCCCTCTGTGTGCTCAGCTCCCTCTGTGTGCTCAGCTCCCTCTGTGTGCTCAGCTCCCTCTGTGTGCTCAGCTCCCTCTGTGTGCTCAGCTCCCTCTGTGTGCTCAGCTCCCTCTGTGTGCTCAGCTCCCTCTGTGTGCTCAGCTCCCTCTGTGTGCTCAGCTCCCTCTGTGTGCTCAGCTCCCTCTGTGTGCTCAGCTCCCTCTGTGTGCTCAGCTCCCTCTGTGTGCTCAGCTCCCTCTGTGTGCTCAGCTCCCTCTGTGTGCTCAGCTCCCTCTGTGTGCTCAGCTCCCTCTGTGTGCTCAGCTCCCTCTGTGTGCTCAGCTCCCTCTGTGTGCTCAGCTCCCTCTGTGTGCTCAGCTCCCTCTGTGTGCAAAGCCCCCTCTGTGTGCTCAGCTCCCTCTGTGTGCAAAGCTCCCTCTGTGTGCTCAGCTCCCTCTGTGTGCTCAGCTCCCTCTGTGTGCTCAGCTCCCTCTGTGTGCTCAGCTCCCTCTGTGTGCTCAGCTCCCTCTGTGTGCTCAGCTCCCTCTGTGTGCTCAGCTCCCTCTGTGTGCTCAGCTCCCTCTGTGTGCTCAGCTCCCTCTGTGTGCTCAGCTCCCTCTGTGTGCTCAGCTCCCTCTGTGTGCTCAGCTCCCTCTGTGTGCTCAGCTCCCTCTGTGTGCTCAGCTCCCTCTGTGTGCTCAGCTCCCTCTGTGTGCTCAGCTCCCTCTGTGTGCTCAGCTCCCTCTGTGTGCTCAGCTCCCTCTGTGTGCTCAGCTCCCTCTGTGTGCTCAGCTCCCTCTGTGTGCTCAGCTCCCTCTGTGTGCTCAGCTCCCTCTGTGTGCTCAGCTCCCTCTGTGTGCTCAGCTCCCTCTGTGTGCTCAGCTCCCTCTGTGTGCTCAGCTCCCTCTGTGTGCTCAGCTCCCTCTGTGTGCTCAGCTCCCTCTGTGTGCTCAGCTCCCTCTGTGTGCTCAGCTCCCTCTGTGTGCTCAGCTCCCTCTGTGTGCTCAGCTCCCTCTGTGTGCTCAGCTCCCTCTGTGTGCTCAGCTCCCTCTGTGTGCTCAGCTCCCTCTGTGTGCTCAGCTCCCTCTGTGTGCTCAGCTCCCTCTGTGTGCTCAGCTCCCTCTGTGTGCTCAGCTCCCTCTGTGTGCTCAGCTCCCTCTGTGTGCTCAGCTCCCTCTGTGTGCTCAGCTCCCTCTGTGTGCTCAGCTCCCTCTGTGTGCTCAGCTCCCTCTGTGTGCTCAGCTCCCTCTGTGTGCTCAGCTCCCTCTGTGTGCTCAGCTCCCTCTGTGTGCTCAGCTCCCTCTGTGTGCTCAGCTCCCTCTGTGTGCTCAGCTCCCTCTGTGTGCTCAGCTCCCTCTGTGTGCTCAGCTCCCTCTGTGTGCTCAGCTCCCTCTGTGTGCTCAGCTCCCTCTGTGTGCTCAGCTCCCTCTGTGTGCTCAGCTCCCTCTGTGTGCTCAGCTCCCTCTGTGTGCTCAGCTCCCTCTGTGTGCTCAGCTCCCTCTGTGTGCTCAGCTCCCTCTGTGTGCTCAGCTCCCTCTGTGTGCTCAGCTCCCTCTGTGTGCTCAGCTCCCTCTGTGTGCTCAGCTCCCTCTGTGTGCTCAGCTCCCTCTGTGTGCTCAGCTCCCTCTGTGTGCTCAGCTCCCTCTGTGTGCTCAGCTCCCTCTGTGTGCTCAGCTCCCTCTGTGTGCTCAGCTCCCTCTGTGTGCTCAGCTCCCTCTGTGTGCTCAGCTCCCTCTGTGTGCTCAGCTCCCTCTGTGTGCCCCCCTCTGTGTGCCCCCTACAGGTGACGGATCTGACGCTGGCGCGGGAGCAGCAGGCGGCGTTTGAGGAGTATCTGGCGGACAACCCCGCGCACAGTCCGGGCATAGACCTCACAGTCACCGTGCTCACCACTGGCTTCTGGCCCTCCTACAAGTCCTCCGACCTCGCCCTGCCCGCTGAAATGGTGCGCTCTCCCTCCTGCCTCCCGCCCGCCTTCCACAAGTCAATGCTTCACGCGCATGCTTTCTGATTGTTCGCCCCCTGCTGATGTGCAAGTTTGTGATGATGTGACTTCGTGACTGTGCATGTGTGTGCATGTGTGTGGCTGTGTCTATGCGTATGATGTGGGCATGGCATGCGACATCAGGTGCGGTGTGTGGAGGTATTCAAGGAGTTTTACCAGACGAAGACCAAGCACCGCAAGCTGACGTGGATCTACTCGCTGGGCACGTGCAACATCACGGGCAAGTTCACAGCCAAGCCCATCGAGCTCATCGTCACCACGTACCAGGCCGCCGTGCTGCTGCTCTTCAATGCATCAGAGCGCCTGAGCTACAGCGACATTAAGAACCAGCTGAACCTTACAGACGAGGATATAGTGCGTCTGCTGCACTCCCTGTCCTGCGCCAAGTACAAGATTCTTGTGAAGGAGCCGGCTGGCAAGACCATTGAGCAGAGCGACGTGTTCGCCTTCAACCCGTCCTTCACAGACAAGATGCGGCGCATCAAGGTCAGCGCTTGGTCTTCCTGCTCTGCTCTTCTCTGCACGCCGCTCTCTCGTTTCCATTGCATTGCAGTGCTGTCTGTGTGTTGCTGCTCTTGTTACAGTGGCCCACCGTGGGCTTACAACCTTCTCTTCTGCGTCATGGTGGGTGCACTCTCGCCCCCCCTCCTCCTTGTTATGTGGTGGTGTGGTGTGGTGTGGTGTGGTGTGGTGTGGTGTGGTGTGGTGTGGTGTGGTGTGGTGTGGTGTGGTGTGTGTGTGGTGTGGTGTGGCGGTGTGTGTGGAGACGTGCAGGTGCCACTGCCGCCGATGGACGAGAAGAAGAAGGTGATAGAGGACGTGGACAAGGACCGGCGGTACGCCATAGACGCGTCCATCGTGCGCATCATGAAGAGCCGCAAGGTGCTGGGCCACCAGCAGCTCGTGCTTGAATGCGTCGAGCAACTAGGCCGCATGTTCAAGGTAACACCCACCCCTCCTCACACCCCTTCCCCGCCTGCGCCAGTCGTTTACTCTCATTGCTGTCTTGTACCTTTTCTGCCGAGGAACGTGAGTTGTACCAGGCGCTTTTCCAAGCCACCCGCTTGGCTGCAGAAGTAGTTCGCTTAACGGAGGGAGTCTGATGTGTGCACCACAAGTGTGTGTGAGTGTGCGCGCAGCCGGACTTCAAGGTGATCAAGAAGCGCATTGAGGACCTCATTGCGCGTGAGTACCTGGAGCGTGACAAGGAGAACCCCACCAACTTCAGATACCTTGCTTGATTGTGCCGGGCCGAGCCTTCAACAAGGCGCGCTCGCTCACTGGATGATCCATGCCTGCCAGCACCGCTGCCATTTTCTCCACCATTGGTATTGTCTGGGGCACCTGGCTGAGTCTATTTTGAACGACCACCTGTTGGGTTTCAACAAGTCACTACACATGGAATGTGTTACATGTTTCAAAGATTACCTAGATGTTTTGTTGCATAGCAAGTGCCATACTTGATTTCATTGTATTTTTTTTGTGACAGCTCCGTCTTGTTGAAGGGGGTTATGGCTACTTGAGTACAGCTGTATTTCTCCTTTTTTACACTGACGAAGTCAACTAGCTCCTATTGGCTTATTACGTGCCACTCGGTTTTTCCTCAACCACCACTTTTCGTCCAATAACAGCTCCGTCACGCACACATTCTGTTCGACTAGCTGCCTCTGATTGGTCAGCCTTGGTGCGTCCCCCCTGTCTCACCAATCAACTTCGTCGCGCCGCACTATCTCACTCGCTCTGCACTGCACCCGCAACCGCCGTTCCCGTGCACTCATCAGTGCGTGCCGTGCAGTCCCCAAATGCTCAAATTCCAGCCCACATTTGTTGCATCCTCGCTCTGGCACTCCACGAACAACACCTTCCCACAAGTCGTCAGCTTTCTGTTCGTAGTGCGACGTACGCTACACCGGCCGTAGTTTCCTTGACGGACAGGGCGAGTTTCCTCCGCACGAGAGCGCCCGAGGCGCCAGGGAGTCGGCGATTCCTTCTATGAGTCGGTCCTGCCAACCCTCGCCTATGGCGTGTCACGTTCCCACCGCGCCTCGCGTCTCGCACCTGCCGCGCACCGTCAGACATCACAGAACGCGCATTCAACCGCCGTCATCACTTGCAGCGATCACCGGCTCTTCTCGCCGGGTCGGTACTAGCCGCCTTCCCACCCCTTGCCGCAATTTGCGCTGTGATTGTTCATGGCGCCCCGCCCCCAGGGGCTTGAACACCTGAGAGCTCGGCGCGCCTCACGTTGTCGTGTTTCCGGCCTCGTCGGCGCTCACCCGCGCGTTCCTTGGTCGTTACGTGCAGACATCGCTTGCTCCCCGGCGCGCGCACACGCGGCGACGAGCAGTGGCGGCGAGCGCGGTCGCGTCGGCGCACGGCGAGGAGCGGTGGCGCGGGGAGGGACGGCAGGCGGGCGTGGCGCTGCTGGTGGACGTGGAAGGGTGAGGTGGGGCGGGGCGCGCATGGGCGGGTGGCTGATTGGGGCGCGTGGGTGCGTGCTGGATGCGCGGACGCGCGTTTGCGCGGGTGCGTGCGTGCTGTGTGGCACGGGGGGTGCTGGCGGAAGCACATGGCCTCGATGTTGCTCTCCTTGCGCTAGTCCGCTCATGCGCTCCTGGCGAGGCTTTTATTTCATGGATACCTGGCGCGCATGCCATGCATATGATGTGCGTTTATGAGTGAGGGAGTGAGTGTGTGCGTGCGTGCGTGCATGTGCGTGGCAGGGTGATGGTTGATCTGCATCGCAACGGGCACATGGAAGCCCTCAACTCAGGTGCGTGCCCGGGCAAACCACTATGCCCACCTGCTGCCACCACAATTCAGTGCTTGCATTGCAACCACACCTTGCCATGCCTACATACTCGCCCGTGCATCAATCAACCCCGATCGATCACCACCGCTCTATCGCCCACTACCGCTTTCCCCACACGCTGCCACGTCTCTCATGCCACGTGATTCCGCCCGTCCCCCGTCTCCCCTCTCCCCTCCCCCTCCCCCTCCCCCTGGGCGCGCGGCAGCCCTGTCGTCACTGGCGTTTGACGCGCACCGCCTCTCCCCCTCGCGCTACAGAGACCTTCACAGGTGCGCCCTACCTTGCTGCCCCCCTTCGCCCCAAGCACCCTCTTCGCTCCACAGGTTGACAGTATGATGGCAAGATGTGTACTGAGATCCATCACCTGCTTCACTTGCACTCATGTGATAACAAGCCCTTGACGCCACTTTCTGCTGCTGTTGCTCTGTGTGTGTGTGTGCGTGTGTGTGGACATCAGGAAGTGTGCAGGAAACTTCGAGCTGCTGCTCTCCACGCACTTCAATGCTGTACGGCCCTTACCGCCCACGCACTTGAACTCCTCAAGTCTCTACACACCACACTCCGTTTCTGCACTTCCATGCCCCATGTTTCCCCTCTCCGTCCTGCACGTTCTTCTCGCGTGTACGTGTCCTGTGCTCGCTCTAAACCCACTGCATGTGAAACAGCTCGACTCTATCCACCATGGTCTATCCCCATCACCTCCTCTGCCTCCCCTTCTTCATGCCGCACTGCCTCCCACTTCTCCCCCCCCCCCCCCATCTGCTGTCTGTTGTCTCCCTCTCCGTCTCGTCCTCCCTGCGCCCATCCCTCTCCTGCAGTCAGCGTGGCCCATCCCCTCGTTGGACGCACAGGCCAAGCAGGCCTTGCTGCAGCGCCTGCTCAACCTCAAGGTGCGCTCCACACCACGTCCCCTTCCATGCCCCCCATGCCCTGCCGTGCCGTGCCATGCCGTGCCATACCCCATCTGTCCTCTCCACCCATTTCCTATGGCCCCTCTCGCTTCCACCCTTTCTCAGCCACACTCAACTCCCTCGCCCTCCTGCCCCGCTTGTGCATCTCCTCCACTCTCCCTTCGCCAGGCGCAGGCCCTGTCGCGTGCGCTGCAGCAGGGCTCGGTACCGCTGCGGCCCGGACTCGTCGAGTGAGTGGGCAGGGCGGGGTGTGGGCCAGGTGGAGGTGGGATGCTGCAAGGGGCGACATGCGTGGGCTGCTGAAAAGCAGTTAGTTGGAGAATGGTTGGAGAATGGGGCAGTCATGCTGTGTTGCTGGGTTTCAAAGAATGGGGTATAAAGAGGGTCGGAGATGGGAGTGCTGTCCTGTCCCCCTTGTTGCCTCACGCTCCTCCTCCGCAACGTGACGCATTGATTCTGTCCGCCCTTGCTCGTGCCACCTTTCCTTCCCACATGTCCCATCGCCTGCGTCCCTGCATCACACCTCTCCACTTGCTCCTGTTCGGAGCCCCACCCACTGTCCCCAACACCACGCCCCCTGCCCCTCCCCCTCCCTCTCCCTTGCTACCACTGTGCCCAACCCCTCCGACCTCAAACGCCGCATTGCACCTCCTGCCCTCTGCCTCATGCATGTGACGTGGCAGCTTCCTACAGGACGCGGTGACATCGGGAGTACACGTGGCAGTGCTGGCAGGGCTGGCGAGGAGTGGGGAGGAGACAGGGAGGTGGGCACGGGAGGTGCAGAGGGGCACGGAATGGGGTGGGATGGGCTGAGGGTGCGCGCTGCGCATGGCTGTAATGGGAGGATGCTGGTGCTGGTGCTAGTGTGTGTGGTTCGATGGGGAGAACACCAGCGTAGGGTGCCAGCAGCAGTAGATTTGCAGTGCAGGATTGCCATAGTTGCCTGGTTTGAAAGACATGCCTGCACTCACTTGCTGCCCTCTTCCTCCCGCTCCCCTCACTCCGTCTTCCCCCTTTCTCGCGCTCTGGGTGCGTGCAGGGGAGTGTTGAGGGGCATGCCAGCGGCGCTGCAGCAGCAGGTGCAGGTGGTGGGCGAGAGGGAGGCGAGGGAGAGTGCGTTCGGGCAGGTGGTGCTGGGAGGAGGGGCGTCGGCTGGCGTGGACGAGGCACTGGCTGCACAAATGGCTCAGGCTGGTGGGTCTGCTGCTCTGCTGCTCTGCTGCTCTGCTGCTCTGCTGCTCTGCTGCTCTGCTGCTGCCTGTGCTTGTGCGAGTGATTGCGGCATCACACTCTGCCTCTACGCCATTCCACCTTCTTGCAGTGCATTGACCTCTCAAGCTCTTGTGTCTTCCTGCTTTTGCTTACGTTTGTGCTTGTGTGTGTGCACGTGTGTGTGCACGTGTGTGTGCATGCATATGTGAACGTATGGGGGGTGGGCATCAACACGGGAGCAGTGTTGGTGGAGAAGAGGCGAATAGCAGAGGAGGTGGCGCGCACGCTCAAGCTCACAGTGGACCTAGACATCCCGTGCGTGCCCCCCCTCCCTCCCCCCCTCCTCTTTTCCCTCTTCTCTCCTCCATGTACCATCCCACTACCATCCCTGCCCCTCTTGCTCTCTTTGCATCTCACAATATGCGCAAGAAACATGCACATTTAACAAGCTCACTGTGGACCTAGACGTCCCGTGCGTGCCCCCCTCTCCCCCCTCCATCCCTGTCTTCGTTCCTCTCTTCCCGTACCCCATCACGCTATCGTCTCTATCTCTCTTGTGCTCTTTTTCATCTAAAAACATGCGCAAGGGCATGCACATTCGACCAATTCGCATCGACACTCAAGACTGCGTACCCTGACATGTCTTCCCTTCCACACCAGTCACCCCTCTAACTCGCTCCACCTCTTTCCCATCACGCCCTGCACGTCTCGCCCGCGGTGGGGGTGGCGGTGCAGGTCTGAGTCACAGGAGGGTGTGGCCATGCTGCGGGCAGCAGCGGAGGTGGTGGGGGTGCCGGCGGCAGCGTGTGTGGTGCTGGCGGGGTGTCAGGGCACGGTGCAAATGGCGGGGCGAGTGGGCATGACTGCATGTGTTGTTCGCAGCAGGTGCGCCCTCCCATGCACATCACCGCCCTCCCATGCACATCACCGCCCTCCCATGCACATCACCGCGCTCCCATGCACATCACCGCCCTGCTCCTCCCCTGCCTCTCATTCCTCTTCCCTCTCCCCACACCACACTCAACACACATAGACCTACATCCACATTCCACTCAATATACTCCTTATCCTCCCCACCCCACTCCTTCCACGCCCCTTTGTGCGTTCCCACTTACATGCTACCCCTCCTCCTGCATGTGCGGCTGTCCCCCCAGCATGACATCAGGGGCGGAGTTCAGAGGAGTGCGAGCAGTGTTTGATGGCTTTGGTCCCGGCGCCCTCACTCTCCCACGCCTCCTGCGCATGCTCGCTGCTGCTCCCACTGGGCCCCCAACGCCATCCCTGTGACTGCAGCATGCCACCATGCTGCAGTTGTGGTGCTGCCCCTCCCATGCTATGATCACATGACATGCTCCCATGCCATGCTGCCATGCCATGATCACATGACATGCTCCCATGCCATGCTCCCATGCCATGCTCCCATGCCATGCATGACGGTCACTAACAGATGAGTCACGATGATACCGTAGATTACCCACGTCCGCAGCCAGCATCGCAGGCAGTGACTCAGCTGCGTGACATTGCAGTGGGAGTGGGTAACTGTTGTGGGAAGATGGCAGCTTGGGCCCAAGGTCATTGTGCTGCCTGTGTGCTGGCCTTCCACACCCACAAGCTCTTAACGCGACTATGGCGTGCTGCTGTCATGCTGCCAAACTCAAGCCACAGGCGCACAATACACAATGCAAGTGCCAGTCACTCAGCATGAAGATAGGCATGCCATCCTGCTCCTCTCATTCATATCATTGTAATTATTTAAGGCTATGTGTTGTTGGGAAGAGTTAGCTCTCAATTATTCAACAACGTTCAGAGCATTCATCAGCCCAACAGTATAGCTACAGGTGTAGGAGAATGCAGTTGTTAGCTGCAATATGGAGGCACGGTTTGTGCTAGAGGGAATGCACTATCATAAGCCACTCGCGGATTGTTGCATGATGGCAATGAATAAGGAAACTGGCAGGAAGCCTCGCACCAGATACCTACCGGTACGTATAATGTTACACCATATCACATCCCCCCTCCATTTTGGGGAATGACTAGAAAAGGAGAGACTATAAGCCTATGGGCTGTGAGAGGGTGGGAGGGGCCCGTGGGTGGAGTCACCAGTGCAGTACTGCCAGTACTCGAGCAGGCGGTGCAGCAGGCGCGTGTGGCGGTGCTCCTGCCGCGTGCGGTGCAGCGCTGCCATGGCCTCCTCCTCTCGCCCGATGAGGAACACCAACTTGCGCGCTCGCGTGAGGCCTGTGTACAGCAGGTTGCGACTGGGGCAGACGCACGTGGTGCAGGGGCATGGGGGCATGGATGGGATGGATGAGGTTTGGACAGGCGAGGGATAATGTGGCAGGAGATTTGTGTGTGCAGAGTGTAGTGGGACAGAGAGGAATGGCTGGGTATTGGGTGCACGAGTGCATGAGTGCATGGTACATGGTAGTGCAAGGCGCATGGTGCATGGTAGTGCACGGTGCATGGAGCATGGAGCAGACCTGAAGAAGTTGCCATAGTCAGCAGAGAGAGGGAGGATGACGATGGGGTATTCACTGCCCTGCGCCTTGTGCACCGTGATGCTCTGCCACCACCCATGCCCCACACACACACACATCATCAGGGCCACGCGCTGAGCTGGCGAGGAGATGACACGGCTCATCGGCACATGACAAGAAGCAGCAAGAGGAGTGAATCTAAGCCTCTGTGTTTAACAGGGCGAGTGGCAGATGGATACTGTGAAGCACATAGCTGGGGGGAATACATAGCTGTGAAGCACATAGCTGGCGTTGGAACGAGCGGGGGGATGCAGGAGAGAGGGAGACGTGGAAGAGAGGTGAAGGGGAGAAGAGGAATGTGGAGTAGAGTAGGGCGAGAGGCATGTTGTGTGCACCCATGCTTGAGTGAGGTGTTTGAGATGGTCGTTGGTGTAGATGACTCGCTGTGGGGCAGCAGTGCTGCCCGATAGCATGTCCACATGCAGCTCCACCTGCTCACACTCGCACAGACATACACACGCACACATATGCGCGCACACGCGCATGCATGAGGACAAAGGGAGGGGGGCCACGGGAGGGGACATATGGCACAGCGTGTGCACACACGCACTGGTGCAAGGGAGCACAGGAGGCAGCAGCAAAAACCACGAGCACTGGTGCAGGCAAGCGGCGCTGTATGGGGGGACGGAAGCGCAGCGCACCTTCTTATCACCGTGCACGATCCTGATAATGATTCCCAGGTCGCCGTGTTTTGAGTCAACTCAATATAGCGGCGCTGTATGGCAAAGGGTGGAGAGGAGGCGCACCTTTTTGTCGCCGTGCACGATCTTGGTGATGATTCCCAGGTCGCCGTTGCTCACATCCAACATGTAGTCGTTGCGCTGCTCTCCCACCCATGCCACCCATGCACACGCACACACATGGTATAGGGCAGGGCGCATGGCAGGGAGGCGGTGGGGAGAGAGAGGCTTTGGCGCATGCAGCTGTGGTGTGCGCTTATCATGTCATGTGAGCAGTGTGGGTGGGCTTGTGGAAGGATGTTCATGTGACTAAGTGATGAACTGGCCATGACTAGCTGAGCGACTCACCAGCTGCACGACTCACCAGGTGCACGGTTCACCAGCTGCACGACTCACCAGCTGGACGACCCGATCGCCCTCTCGGAACACCATGTCTGGCCCCACACGGTGCTCCCTCTTGCTGCTGCACGGCGGGTTCAGCAGCTGCTGCAGTCGCTGCCAGAGAGAGGGCGGGTGGTATGTTGCAGGGAAAGGTCATATCAGTATCTCCTCCCCTTCATCATAAGTACCTGTTGCTCTGCCTCTCCTGTTCGCTTCCCATCCCACTTCCTACGCTGCCCTCCCCACCCTCGACCCCTCAGTGCGGCAACGCTTGGCAACCCCCACAGAGCCTGTGTGTTACAGCCCCCAGAGAGCCCGTGTGTAAAAGCCATGAGAGAAGTCAGGTGTGTGTTACACGCACGTTGTTGAGCAGCATGACGCCGAAGGGGCCGCGCTGCACGGGCGCCAGCACCTGCACGTCGTCGCGCGGCGATGCTGTGAGGTGCGGCAGCACACGCGTGAGCACATGCTGCATCACCACCTCCATTTCCCCGTGCGTCCTCGCCTGCCCAGGGCGCGATGGGGGACGCGGAGTAGGGTTTGAGTTGGGTGGGAAATGGTGGAGAGTGAATGTTGTTGAGGACAGATGAAGTGCGAATGGATGGACATAAGGGCTACCTTACGATGTGAGGAACGAGATGGGGAGAAGCAAGAGAGAGACGTTGAGAGGAGGAGTGAGAGGAGTGAGAGGAGGAGAAGCATGAGTGGGTAGGGTAGGGCAGGGGATGGACTATGAGACCCAGTGAGGGGAATTTATGGGTGGGGAAAGCGAGTGAGGGTTATAGGACGGATGAAGGAATGCGAGGGGTTTGGGTGTGGACACACATGCAGGAGCACACAGTCGGAGGTGAGACTGGTCCACCACTGGTCCCCCCCCACAGCAGGAGGAGCAGCAGGGGGAAGCGAGGGAGCAGATGTATCAGCATCCGTGTTGGTGGTGGTGGCGGTGGTGGTGGTGGCGGTGGGGGTGGTGATTGGAGGCAGGGAGGAGAGGGCAGAGGCGACGGCAGCAGAGTGGAAGCGAGGCCAGGGGGCGTAGAAGGAGGGGCGCGTGCCGTTGAGGATGGCGTGGGCGTGCTGCACTATGTGCGACTGCTGCGCCTGGCGGAATATGTGCGTCAGCCGGTGCACCTTCACAAACCCACACCTGCTCCCCCGCTCACACACGCACGACAGGCACGGGATCGGCATAGGGTACATTAGTAGCGAGAAAGAGGACTAGCAGTTGCGATACAGATTTCAGAGGCCGCACACAACGACTGGCTGGCTGACCGTGACAGCATAGCAGGCAAATGAGATTCAGAAAAGGAATGCAGGGATGAGAGGGCGGTAAGAAAGTTGCCAGGGCACATGGCACACGGCACACGGCACATGGCACATGGCACATGGCACAGGGTAGAGGAGCAGAGCACGCACCCCATGATATCGGCAAGGAAGTTGCCGGGTCCAACGGGTTGCAGCTGGTCCTTGTCCCCCACGAAGAGGATCTGGCAGTGCGGAGGGCACGCTGCTAGCAGCGCTGCCACCAGCGGCACATCCAGCATCGATGCCTCGTCCACTATTATGGCGTCCACCTGTATGCATGCCCTGATACACATGCAGTATGCATGGCCACACATGCCGTGCCACACATGCCGTGCCACACATGCCGTGCCACACACGCACCAGGGAATCACTGAACACGCAAGCGATTGTGCAGCTGGTGTGCACCTATGCCACGACTGGTGCAGTAAGGCACACAAAAGAACAAAGCAGCTGGACAAGACAGCAGGCAGGAGGGAGGAAGCGACTCGATTCGAGATGCATGTGGCTTGGCTCGGCAGGTGAGGGGCGCGCACCTTGAGAGGGTTCTCCCTGTTGTGGTGGTTGAACAGCCTCAGGTCGTTCCCCAGTGCGTGTTTTGAGTCGACTCAAAACGCGACTCATTACACGTCGAGGGGCGCGCTGCGCACCTTGAGAGGGTTGTCTCTGTTGTGGTTGAACAGCGGCAGGTCGTTGCCCAGAGCATCATCGCACACCATGCCCGCCCCACCCACTCCTGCGACACCCATGGCAGCAGCAAGCTCTTGGTCCGTTGAATTGGATGAATATCCCAGCAGCTTGTGAATGGTGTGCGCCTTCTGCTTCGTCGCCTCCTCCAGCCGCTGCGCTGCCCGCCCCGTAGGCGCGCACAGCATCACCTGAGAGCGCGTGGGCATAGGGGTGGTGGGAGGCAGGCAGAGAGCAGAGCACATGGCAGGGCGAAGAGCAGAATGCACGGCAGAAGCAGATGGCAGTGAGAGGACACTTGCAGGTTGCAAGATGCGTGAAAGAGCATGTAAGGTGCGAGCCGCACCTGTTTGTCCTGAGCAGTCCAGAGGCGAGTGATGAGGCGAGTGGTGTACGTCTTGCCACAGCCAGGGCCCCCCGTGAGCACCATCACGTGCGCCAGCGCTGCTGCCTCCACCGCAGCGCACTGCTCCGCCGTGAGGTGCTGCTCTGCGTGCGCCTCCTCTTGCTGCACCCACTCGCGCACGTACTGCAGCTGCTCTGCTCCGTGCACGCCCCGACTCGCCCTCACCGCCATCTGCTGCGCCACCTCCCTCTGCCACGTAGTAAGAGGGGGAGTGTGCGAGACAAGGGGTGGTGGGACAGCGACAAGAAGTGGTGGGGCAAGGACAAGTTAGAGTCCCAGTGGCTGTGCTTAGAGCTGTATGGATTCAAGAGCAAGAGACAAGAGAGTGCAAAGAACTTACCTCTGCCTGCAGCATCCATGCGAGGTAGCATCGGTCATTGCGCCCCAATGCTGGCCCTCCGCCCTCTGCGCTTGACTGCTCCGCGCGCACGGCCTCCCACTCCCCATCCCCACTGCCCTCACTCCCGCTACCCTCACTGCCACTACTCCACCCACTCGCATCGCTCCACCCAGAACTGCTCCCACTGCCACCACTGCTCACTGCACGCCCTGCACGCCATGCCCGCCCTGCATGCCCATTACTGCCATGGTCCTCGGCTCTCTCCACCACCACGACACCCCTCCTCTGCAGCTCCCCCATCGCCTCCTCCAGCCGTCCCTCCTCCATCGCCCTGCCCCACTCCCACGCCTCCTGCTGCTGCTGCTGCCACTCCTCCCCTTCCCCGCCCTCATAAAGGTCTTCCTCGTGGCAGGAAGCGAGCAGCCGGGCAGCATACCGCAGCAGGAGCGACCAGGGGACGAACACATGGCAGCTGTTGGGGCAGAGGTCCACTAGGGACGCCTGTAGCAGAGCGCAGGGGCGCGAGGGGTGTGCGGGGGAGCACCCGAGCTTGCGAGCCACGGAATCGATCAGGTCGAAGGGCACGGCGGGGACGGCCTGCAGTGCTGCCCAGGGATCCGCGTGTACCACACTCACAGCGTCCATTGGGTGCTGCCTTACTGCATGGGCGAGAGCGGATCACGGCAGTGCGGCGGCAGGGCAAGAGCAGGGAGGGCGCAGGGAGACACGGATGAGTTGCAGGGATTGTTTAAGAGCTCTTGAAAATCTCTGCAAGGACGTGGATGACTGAGTGTGGTCATCATGGCAGAGGGTTGGGTTGGATGCGGTAAGATGGGGAGGTGGGGTGGGAGAGAGACGAGCAGCACTCACCAAGCTTCACATCACAATGGCCATGGGGTCATGGCAGAGGGTTGCAAGCGGCATGGTGGTTTGTTGGGGAAGTGGAAAAGCGAGGTGCAGCACTCACTGAGCTCCACGACAGCCAGGGGCGGAATGCCCAGCTGCACCAGCTGGTTGTGCCCCTCCCGCATCGTCCTCGCCTTGTCCCATGCTGTCTTTATGCGCTTCGCGGTCAGTTTTCCTATGCCAGGCACCTGATTCCATGCCATGGCAGTCTCACGCCACGCGCCATGGGATGGGACACATCAAGACAAGGTACAGGTTGGTTGGGAATGCACATGGGAGTTATTTCATCCACCCACCCGCCATGGCATGGCACGCAATGATGCGCCAAGAATGCAGGATTGCTCACGGGAGTTTTCATCCACCATCCATGACACACAATGACAAGGCAATGCATGGCCGCACCACACAGGTGGTGTGATGCCACCCCACCCCACCCCACCCCACCCCACTGCGCGCACATGCGAGCACGCGCGCGTGGCTCCCCTGCGCACCTCTTGCAGCGCTGTGATGGCCTTGGCGCTGTTGAGCGTGGCATAGATGGCGGCACCAAAGTGGTCCAGCAGTGCCCTGGCTGTCTTGGGTCCCACCCCTGGAAGCAGCTCCGCTAGGTACCTGTGGGGCCAGGCAGGCAACGGCGAGGCACGCAGCATGGGTGGGCCAACGCACGCAGCATGGGTGGGCCAAGGCACGCAACATGGGTGGGCCAAGGCACGCAGCATGGGTGGGCCAAGGCACGCAGCATGAATGGCCAAGGAATGGATCATGGGTGGGGCAAGGCACGCGGATCATGGAGAGCCATGGAGAACAAAGAGGTCACGACGATGCAAGGCGAGCACGGGAGTGTGGGAAGCCGAGCGTGTGTTGAGCGATGCTGGTAGGAGGAGCAGCACTGACGTTTCAATGTCCTCCGTCTGCTGGGGCAGTACAGCGTGCGCCTCTCTGGCTTGGAGCTGCGGGCCGTACTTGCTGCTCACCCACCGCCCCATCACGCGCAGCTGCTGCCCCGCCTTCACACTCCCCACCACGCCCACCACCGCCAGCTGCCCCGCCAGCATGTGCAGCTGCAGCGTCGCCCTCTCCTCCTCACTCAGCCCCTCGCCCCCGCCCCGCCCCACCAACGCTGCTGCTCTTGCCCTCTCCACGCTTCCGCCCTCGTCAATACTCAAAGCAGCATCCACACCCTCCCCTGCCGTGCCGCCCCCCCCTACCTCTGCTGCACCTGCGCCATTACCAGGTTGCACGAGCGCCGCTGGCAGCTCTGTGGGGTGAGAGAGCATCGAGGAAACATCGAGTTTGAAGACCATCCACCCGTTGCGCTCGGCCACCACGCGAGTCACTGTCCCCACCAGCTCAACCTGCGCCTCCGCTGCTGCGCGCTGCCTGTGCCGATGGGACCTGTGCTTCCTGTGTTGCGGCAGGGCAGCACGAGGGGCATAAGGGGCGTGCGAGGGGGCACTGGAGCCATGCCTCTCCTGGTGGTGACCATGCCCCGCCACGCCTGCTGCTCCCATGAACGCTTGGGGGCCAGCAGCTGCAGCGCTGCCATTCACCCTGCGCCAACTGCTGTGCCTCCTGCTCGTGCTGCCGCCCCCGCTGTGCTGTGCGCCTGCACTGCTCCTCTCCCCTTCTCCCGCCCCACGCATCGCTGCCACGCCTGCACGGCCATCAGAAGCACCGCTCTCCCCGCCGTGCAGGGGCGCGAACGGGCCTCCTTGGGCGTGCCGACGCGCCACTTGAGCCGCCAGCCTCTTCTTTGCGTCCACTCCTGCTGCTGCTGCCCGCGCTGCCATCGCCCCCTCCCACCCACGCGCATCCTGCACTGCGCCATGCACCGCCGCGTGTGAGGGAGAAGAGCTGTGTGCACGGCCTGCACTGCCATTGCCATTGCCACGACCACCCGCCTGCCACGCTCCCTCTGCTGCCCCTGCCTGCTGCACCTCCGCAAATGACGCTGGCGTTGCTGCTGCCGATGCCTCTTCCCTGCCCCCCGCCTCCCCCTCCGCCGCTGCGCCCACCTGCTGCTCCTGAGCCTGCGCCACCTGCTCTTGCCCGTCCCCTCGCCTATGCACCTCGGCGCTGTCCCCCCCTGGCCCCGGTGCCGTCACTGCATGTGTGCTGCTCGCCTGCCCATACGCCGTGTGAGCACCCACCAGCAGCCCCCTCATCCACAGCCTTTCCAGCCCCCCACCACTCTGCGCCGCCCGCCCCTCCCACCTCCGCCACCTCCTTCCTCCCCACGTGGCCGCCCCCCCCTGCGCATTATCCGCACTGCTCCCCCAGTCGGCGCCCACCAAGCATGAGCGCGCGGAGTAGGGTGGGGCGCTGCTGGTGGCGGAGAGCGCGCGCGAGGCGAGGAGGTGCCGCGCGGACAGGTACGGTAATAGGGGGGAAGGGGCGCGCGGGGAGTCGCGGCCAGCGAGCCATGAGAGCGGGCGACAGGCGCAATTCTCGAGGCGCGCGGCGTGGTCGGCAGTGCGGGCAGCAGCGGTCGCAGCAGGCGCGGCAGCGGAAGGGCTGCGCGCGACGCTGCGAGGAGCGGGTGACGGCGAGGCGGGCCAAGGCGAGAGGGCGGGGGGCGTTGGCATGGCGCGCAGGGAGGGCGCAAGGGGCAAGGCGTTGCAGAGCGGGGGGGCGGCGAGGAAAGAGCGCGCGGGAAGGCGAAGACGAAGAGGTTGAAGGAGCAGTAAGGAGGTGGAGTGCGCGTAGAGTGGAGCCCTGCCAGCCGCGCGCCTCATCTACCTCGTATCGCCTGCGCTGCGCCGCCTGATCTGCCCCACATGCCCCAACCGCTCTGCCCTGCGCTTATTGCGGCGAAACTCCGCTTCCGGGAAAGAAGGGCGGAAAAGGCGCGCGATCCGCGAGGAACTAACGCGGACCTTGAACGAGGGGTGCTCAGCCACTCACACGCCGCTACGTGGACCGGCGAGGCGATGAGGATCAGCGTCTCATGCTCTCCGCATGGCCGCCATCAACGCAGTAAACACGTGACCATGCGCCCGTGGCACAGCGGCAACTATTCATTGCACCGCCACTGCATTCCCCCGCCATCGGCCTTGCTCCCATTAGATCTGTCAACCTTCCCACATGGGACCTTCCTCCTCCGCGAAGCTCGACGGCAAATCCAAGCACCTTCTCTCACCAGTGTCCAGCTACTGTCACGCAGAACTTGGCCAGACAGCTTTCCCTCAGCAGCGAAAAGCCGATCGAGAAACTCGCCTTGTCAGGTTATTAAGGCGTGGAACACCTATGTGGGACAGACGACGGGAACTGGGCCGGTTGTCGCGAGGTTACCGCAATTGCGAAGCTCGCATTCGTTGCTGCGGCGCTCCCCTCCACCCCAACATGTCGCCTACTGTCAACTGAAACGTAACAAGAAAAACCCCGAAACCTTCACTCTCAAAACGTCAGGAACAGTGATATTGCGACACTCATGAAGTGATACCGGAGTCCGGGGACGATTCAGCGGAGCGATCCTGAATGCGCCAAAATCGAAACTTACAGCCGAACGCAGGTTCGCGCCGCTGCATAGTAACATGTCGAACGCGGGTCTGGTTGAGAAAGTTCACATTGCCTCGGATCACCTTGTCGTCCCTTTCGCCCATCTCCTCCCATCTTCTACTCTTCCCTTCCGAATCCTTTCGCCCTTCTCCCCAGTTCATCAGCTTCTTCACGCCACGTCTTCGCCGTTCCTTAGCGCAAGTTATGCGGTTGTTTTAGAATCTCAGTATGACGACTAGCACTAACATAAGCGATCTGTCCGACTGCCTCCTTCTTGAGATCCTCAGGCGTTCCTGCAAGCAGCCTGACGCGCCATGCACGCCGTATATTGACAGCCGCGTGTGGACGCCCACATCCGCACATTCGCCTTTGAACGATCACGCAGAGCAAGGCTTTCTCATAGCCAAGACGCCCGTAGCATCCCCTCCTCCCCTCTCAGACATCGCTCAGAATCTCCTCCTCGCGTCCGTCTGCCGATGTTGGCGTCGGCTGACGAAGCATCACGTGACGGCTCTTTCCGTTAAATCAGACCTCGTAGTGCCCTCCGAGCATCTCTCAGCCGCCGTCGCGTTCTTTCCAAATCTCACGGATCTCCATCTAGGTGAAAGCAGCTCCGAGTTTCTAGATGATGACTTCCTCGCTCACCTCGCGTCTTCATGTCCGAGGCTGACGGCTCTCCACGTCGGAAGGAGCTGGCAAGTGCCCGATAAGTGTGCTTACAAGGTGGGAGGGAGGTGGCGTTTGCTAGATGAGCGTGGTTACCACGAGAGACATGGTCCCGCAATAGAGAACCATTGGATCACTACAGGCGGCTTGGATGGGTTCTTTCAAAAGCTTCCGAGATTGGAGAAAGTTACCCTGTTCTGCCTTCGCAAAAATCTAGAGCTACCAGATTCACTTTTTCAGCTGAGGCAACTGCACACACTCCTTCTCACCAAGAGTTCAACCGTAGGAAAGCCCGGATTCGCCAACCTTACTGCTCTTGCCACTTTGTACATCACTTCCTCTTGGACCCAACAACACCTCTCCACCCTTCTACACCTCCCAAGACTCACCCGTCTGTACGCCATCGCACCTCACAAAAATCATGAGCTTCTTGGTGCTGCAAGAGCGACTCGGACAACCTGCCTGAAATCGCTCAACTTCATGGTCTCTTGTCCCGACTTTGGCACCATCTTCCCGTCAGCATCCCCCTTCACTGGGCTAGAAGAGCTTGTGATCACTAGTTGCAGCGAGCTAGAGACCCTTCCTGACCACATCGGAGACTTGCTGCCACGCCTTCGCAAATTGTCCATTCGCGAGTGTGATAGTTTCACTCACCTGCCCGAGAGCTTCACTTCTCTGATCCGTCTAGAAGAGCTCGTTATCTGGTCATGTACTTACTTCACTTTACCCAGCAACTTCGGTCACCTGCCTGCCATCAGATTACTGGTGCTGTTTGATTCTCATTCCAGTGACCTCCCTCCTTCCTTCTGTTACCTCACGCGTCTCGAGGCACTCGTTATTGATGATTGCCGCCAGCTTGAGAAGCTGCCAGCAGATTTCTGTCGCTTGACGACTCTCAGGACGCTCTGCATAGCAAGGTCTGAAGGAATTTTCCTGCCAGAGGACGTGGGGGCCCTTGCAAATCTTGAGGCTCTCAAGCTGTTACACTGTCACAGGGAGCCCCTGCCAGATTCCTTTACCCAGCTAACTTCCCTGACCAGCCTTGAGCTGGATTCATGCTTTTGTAATGACGAGCTTCCAAACCTGGCCTCACTCAACAGCCTCCGCGAGCTGAAGATGGTGAATGTTTATATTCCCACGATTCCTAGCTCGCTGACAAGGCTTACAGCTCTGCAAATCTTGGAGGTGAGGGGCTGCCAGTGGCTCTCCCAGGTGCCCTCTCGGATGGACATGATGGTGGGGCTGAAGACGCTGGTGCTGACAAAGTGTGAGGAGCTGAGGAGCCCCCCTGATGCATTGCCGCCCAATCTTGAGACCCTCTGCTTGGGGCCGTTCGTGGACGGCTGTGAGCATGTGGTCGACCTCTCCGGGCTGTTGCAGCTGAGGGTGCTGAAGCTGGACTGTGTTGGGGTGCGACACGCGCCTGCAGTGACCAGCAGCTTGTTGCGCCGGGAGCAGGGGGAGCAGGGGGAGCAGGGGGAGCAGGGGGAGCAGGGGGAGCAGGGAGGGCAGGGAGGGCAGGCGGAGCAGGGGGAGCCGGGGGAGCGGGGGGAGCGGGGGGAGCGGGGAGAGCGGGGGGAGCGGGGGGAGCAGGGGGAGCCGGGGGAGCGGGGAGAGCGGGGGGAGCGGGGGGAGCAGGGGCTGCAGGGGGAGCAGGGGGAGCAGAGTGTGCAGTGGGTGCAGGGGGAGCAAGCCGAGCAGGGGGGGCAAGGGGTGCAGGCGGTGCAGGTGCAGAATCTAGAGACGCTGGAGATGCGTTTGGAACGTAATAAGCGAGAGCTCCCAATCCCCTTGACTTTTCTCCCTCGCCTGCGCAGCTTGGTGATAGATGCGCCTGGAGTCCGTAGCCTCCCGGAAAGCATGTGGACAGCCATGCCACAGCTGCGGCAGCTGAAGCTGCTTTCTTGGTCACCGGAGGAGCTGCCAGAGAGCATTGGAGAGCTCCGTTCCCTGACGTCACTTACAATTGAAGCACCTCAGCTGTTGGCGCTACCTCAAGGCATGACCTGCTTGTCTCGGCTGCGCAGACTGAAGCTGAATTGCCGCAGTGCCTTGCTGCAGCAGCACCACCCAAAGAGCCTTTTCCACCAGCTTGATTGCCTGCAGCAGGTGATAATCAAACCATTCCTGCGCTGATGTAGCGTGGGCAGGAATTATGTAGCACGCACATGGGCACCATCCTGCATGCTGCAATGGCCGTGTGCTCTTACCAGTATCCTGCTTGCAGTGCCACGGCGGTGGATAGGGAGGGATGATTGGGTTGAAAGCTGGAGTTTAGCTGGTTGAACGGGAGATGGGATGAGTGATGGTACGGAAGGCCAGTTGCTGTGCGCTCCGTTACTGTGAGTTTCTTGCTTGCAGTGACATGCTTTGTTGCTTGGTTTGGCAGAAAGGTGGCATGCTACCGTACCTTCCTTTGTATGCATTGTACATAGGCAAAGTCGTCCGATTGGGAACGAACATTCAGGCTCTGGTGCATCTAGCTTTCAGCCTCATACGGTATATGAAAGACGTGGTTCAGTGCCCGGTTCAGTGCCTTCTCCTCCTAAAGACATGGAAGATCCAGACTGGCTTGCAATGATCTCTTTCAATGAAACAAAGCTGTACAGCACTGCATTGTCTTTCAAACTTCCATCCTCACTAGAATCGACTCAAGCTATTCGGACAAGTGCTTTGCTTGCTGGCCATGGAGAGTCGACAATCCGTGTAGCTATAGATTGAAAGCAGGGCTAAAGTGCTGGATTGGAGCCATATGATCAGAAGTTGCTAATACCGTAAATGCTCCTGCAGGCATAGCGTAGCAAGATCTACGAATCATCCTGAGACTAACCACAGGTGCATCTTGCTGCAGTAGACTATTGAACATGTAGCAGCAACCTCCATTCCTGACGACCTTATTCACATGCAGTGCGTCAGGAGTCAATTGCTCGCCGCACAGCCATTTCAGCGTGCAGCGAGGCAAGGCGGGACTCGACTCGATGGCTGCTTGCACCTGGTCGTACAGACAAGGGAAGGGGGGGTATGTTTGGAATGAGGAATGATGCGTCATGGCAATGTACAAGGTGGCATGTGAATGAGCACTGGCAGGTAGAAAGAAGAGCACAGCCATGCAACTCATGCATGTGTGCTACCAGACGGCCTCATGCAACCCCCCTCTCTATGTGCTGTTTTCCCAGGAGCATGATGGCGTCTCACCCATAGCAGTCGCTGCAGCGTGCATGTCATGCCCAGCAGCAGGCTGCGATGCCGCTGGTCCAACTCCACAAGCATGCAGGTGGAGCATGCATGCCACCAAATGACATGCCACACCATGCCATACCACCGAATGACATGCCACACCATGCCATACCACCGAATGACATGCCACACCATGCCATACCACCAAATGACATGCCACACTATGCCATGCCACCGAATGACATGCCACACCATGCCATACCACCAAATGACATGCCACACCATGCCATACCACCAAATGACACATGCCACACGATGCCATTCCACCGAATGACATGCCACGCCTGCCATACGATGGCACAACCAGTATGTCACGCAGTCACAAGCCACAATGGAACAAGTCACACCGAAACAAGTCACACCGAAACAAGTCACACCGAAACAAGTCACACCGAAATTAGTCACACCGAAACAAGTCACAACGAAACAAGTCACAGTGAAACAAGTCACACTGAAACAAGTCACACTGAAACAAGTCACAAGTACTGAAACAAGTCACACTGAAACAAGCCACATTTAAACAAGCCACACTGAATCATGCCACTGTGCATCCAACCACACTGCATCATGCCACACTGCATCACACCAAACCGTATGATAACACACTGTATCACACCACCTGTTCCATACAACGCTGTATCATACCATAATGTATCAGACCACACTCTATCCTACCACACTGTATGATAACACTGTATCATACTACGCGGACACATACCAGACAGAACCATACCAGAGCGTATCATCCCAAACTGTACCCAAGGGGTTTCAGCCCCATTCCACCTCACTTCACCACTCAAGGAATTTCAGACTGCACTTACCCTGGGGGATTCAGGCCCCCACCATTGCCGCTTACTGCACTTACCCTGCACCCACCCAAGGGGTTTCAGCCCCTTCTCTCCCACTCACCCACCCAAGGGGTTTCAGCCCCTCCCCACCTTCACTTGCCAGCCATACACCTGCCTACCAGATTCACCCTTGTAGCCCACCCACAAACATACCCCAACCAACCATAAACCCACCTATGCAGAATCACCCATCCAACCCACACAACCAACCCCCCCAAACCACACCCACCTAGCCCTCAACCACCCACCGATCCCCCAACCGCCAGCCACCAATCCCCCCACCCACACACCCACTCACTCCCACCATCTTTCCTCACCCCTCCCCCCCTTCACCCGCCAGCAGAGGGAGCAGCAGACATCCCACTGCCATAAAAGCTTCAGTCCTCGCCATTCCACTCACCCACCACCCTTCCTTCTCACCCATCACACCCAAGGGGATTCACCCCTTCCTTCTCACCCATCCCACCCAAGGGGATTCACCCCTTCCTTCTCACCCATCCCACCCAAGGGGATTCACCCCTTCCTTCTCACCCATCCCACCCAAGGGGATTCACCCCTTCCTTCTCACCCATCCCACCCAAGGGGATTCACCCCTTCCTTCTCACCCATCCCACCCAAGGGGATTCACCCCTTCCTTCTCACCCATCCCACCCAAGGGGATTCACCCCTTCCTTCTCACCCATCCCACCCAAGGGGATTCACCCCTCTCACCCATCCCACCCAAGGGGATTCACCCCTTCCTTCTCACCCATCCCATCCACGGCGATTCACCCCTTCCTTCTCACCCATCCCACCCAAGGGGATTCACCCCTTCCTTCTCACCCATCCCACCCAAGGGGATTCACCCCTTCCTTCTCACCCATCCCACCCAAGGGGATTCACCCCTTCCTTCTCACCCATCCCACCCAACAGGATTCACCCCTTCCTTCTCACCCATCCCACCCAAGGGGATTCACCCCTTCCTTCTCACCCATCCCACCCAAGGGGATTCACCCCTTCCTTCTCACCCATCCCACCCAAGGGGATTCACCCCTTCCTTCTCACCCATCCCACCCAAGGGGATTCCCCATTTCCCTCTCACCCACCCAACCCAAGGGGTTTCAGTCCCCCTTCTCCCAACTCACCCACCCTAGGGGACTCAGCCCCCTTTACTCATTCACCCACCCTAGGGGACTCAGCCCCTTTCCCCTCAGTCGCCCACCCTAGGGGAAACAGCCCCTTCTCTCTCACTCACCCACCCTAGGGGACTCAGCCCCTTTCCCCTCACTCACCCACCCTAGGGGACTCAGCCCCTTCTCTCTCACACACCCACCCTAGGGGACTCAGCCCCTTTCCCCTCACTCACCCACCCTAGGGGACTCAGCCCCTTTCCCCTCACTCACCCACCCTAGGGGACTCAGCCCCTTCTCTCTCACTCACCCACCCTAGGGGACTCAGCCCCTTTCCCCTCACTCACCCACCCTAGGGGACTCAGCCCCTTTCCCCTCACTCACCCACCCTAGGGGACTCAGCCCCTTTTCTCTCACTCACCCACCCTAGGGGACTCAGCCCCTTTCCCCTCACTCACCAACCCTAGGGGACTCAGCCCCTCTCCCCTCACTCACCCACCCTAGAGGACTCAGCCCCTTCTCTCACTCACCCACCCAGCCCATTCCGCACTCACCAGCCAGCAGCAGGAGCAGCAGGAAGCCCACTTCCTTTAGGAAACAACACCCCCAGAGGCTGTGACTTATGGAGCGAGGTGTGGTAGTGGAAAATTGCTTCCAGCCCAAGACTCAAATCCCACCCCTGACGTAGCCAGAGCTGACGCGAACCAGAGCCGCCGGCCGGTCGGCTCTGACGGTGTCCATTAGGCCTTGAACGCCAGATCGGTTACTTGAGCACCGAGTGCCGTGCCGCGCAGATTCCACCCACCACACCCCACCCACAAGACACAACCCCAGGAGATGCTGCTCCTAAGGCAGTGAACTCCCCACTTGCTCCCGTGCTCCCACCCACCCACCCCACACTTCACCCCCATGCCTCCTTACCTCTACTTACCTGTACTTACCTGAGCCGTGCAGAGCGCCATGATGCTGAGGCTGCTGGGAAGGAGTGGGGGTGATTAGGAGAGGGGGAGACAGGACTCCTCTGTGATACAGGCAGCCTGCTGCTGGGAGGGAAGGGAGGGAGAAGGGAGAGGTTGAGAGGTGAGTAAGAGGGTGCACTTCACTCTCCCGTCCTTGCTCCAGTGCTCCCACCTTCTGCCTGCAGGAGGGGAAGAGAGACCAGTGAGAATGGGACGAAGAGCAGGCAGCATCGTGAAGACAGGGAGAGGGCAAGAAACGAGAGCGAGCACGGGAGAAAGACCGGCAGCAGCATAAGAGACTCACCTTGTTCCAGATGACCCATCCCGATACTCTCCCATCCCATCCCAGCCGAGTGGAGTGCTGCCCCCCTCCCTGCACGGCCACAGGGGAGGGGCGTGAGGGAGCGTCGGTGTTGACCCCACACCCCTCCCCGCCACCTGCAACGCGCACACACAGAGCTAGTCAGAGCGCGGCGGAGGGAGCAAGTTGAATGCGAGACTGTGACTTGAAATCCAGCGCAAGGGAAGGGAGGAGGAGCCACTGGTTGAGGCACGGCCACAAGCTGCAGACCCAAGGGCACCTGAAAAAAAACCTGAGGGGTGTACCTGCACCTGAAGGGGTTACCTGCACTGCACCTAAGGGGGTTACCTGAAGTGAGGGGGTCTGAGGCATGCAAATCGTGCTCAACCAGTGGCAGTGTTTCAAAGGGAACGCGAATGCACAACCGGCAAAGAAACTGGCAGCAAGAAAGCAACAGTGTGAAAACGACAAGAGTGATTCAATATAAGCAGTGAGCAGCAGGCAAGAGTGAGTCCAGGGAGGTGAGAGCACTTAGCTGGCAGCTGAAGAGCCGCCGAGAGATGCTGCCTCGTGTCCCCTTCCCTCCCCTCCCCTCCCCTACTGCTTCCGCGCCCCCTGCTGCTGACGCTGCCACAGCAGGTCCCTTCAGCTGTCTCTGCTGCATTGCGAGTGACCTGGAGGG